AAAAAAAAAAAAACTTTTTATTTCAGCTAGCTGTCAAGGCAACATTTCTCATTTTAATTTAGTTGAACTTGATGTACTACTAAAACTCAATGCTAAGTAACACTGCTCTTAAAGTCAGTCTGATTAGATTTGATTTACTTTTTTAATAGTTTTATTGAGAATGAATGATTCCTCAGTGCATTTGGTCACACTTTATTTTAAGGTCAAATTCTCGTCGATAACAAACCATTAACTACGACTTCAATAAACTCCTAATTTGCTGCTTATTAATAGTTAGTAAGGTAGTTGTTAAGTTGAGGTATTGGGAAGGATTAGGGACGTAGAATATGGTCATGCAGAATATGTGCTTTTTAAGTACTAATAAACAGCCAATATGTTAATATATAACACTGTATTCTAATAAGCAACTAGTGAATTGTGAGTTTTTTTTCACATACTATTAGTTTTTTTCATTTTAGATTTTGTTTTCATTTTCATTTTGGTTATAGTAATTTTTATTAATTGTTTTAAATACTGTATGTCTATATAGTTTTTATGTATATTTAGTTTATTTTAGTACTTCAACAAACTAAAAATAAGAATTTAAAATATATATATATATTTTCACCTAATGTTTGTTTCATTTCAAGTTATATATATATATTAATGTTTTAGTTAACAATAATAGCCTTGCTCTGCACTGGGCCAGAAACATCCATGCATTGCAAAGTAAAATCTGTCCATTGACTCACGGCTTTACCGCTGTCACAGGTCACATCCAGATCGCTCAGGTTCCTGACCGCCACGAGCCGGACAGCGGCGGAGAGCTCAGTTACACGTATCTCTTCAAGCTGCTGGAGGAGCTGGACTATCAGGACTACATCGGCTGTGAATACAAACCTCAGTGTGAGTCAAAGTCACTGGACACTTGGCTTTATGCAGTTTTTAACATTTGAATGCTCACCATCGCTTTTACAGCATGAAACTCATCCACCAGGATATATACTGTATGTTGACAAGTCCATGGATGAAAATAGAAATAATGTTGCACAAAAACATTTGTGAGTCTAAATCTCATTTACTCATTGATATGCTTCATTTCCAGACTGCAGCCACTGTGACAGTTCAACAACTCTTAGATTGCAATGAGTATAGAGTGAAATTTCATTGATAGTTCATATTTGTAAATGTGATTGTCCAGGTTCCACAGAAGCGGGTCTGGACTGGCTCAGAAGATACTGGAGCAGCCACAACTGATGAGCAGCTTCACGTCTTCAGTTCCTGCTTCTTCTAAAAGGCAATCATGTATTAAAAAGACAAGACTGTAATTTTCTAAAGCTTAAAATTGACCCATAGACTCCCATTTTCAGTTGTTTTATTAATATTTCACTTGTCAGTAGCTATGAAATATTAATTTGTCTGTCTCTCAAGGCATTGCATATGAAGAACACTTCAGATGTTTTAATTTAAGATTTATTAAGCATTTTCTTACAAATCCGCCTCTATATACAGAATGTACAAATGACTTTTTCACACATTTGAATTGCTAATTCATCTTCTAACATTTGAATAAATCTTTCTTTCAAAAATGTCCAGTGTGCTTCAAAAAAACAGTAAAACACATTTTCATTCTTCAGTTTCTGTCACTGCAGGAGGTAAGACATTTGCTTTCCTTCATGTGAAATGAGTGTCAAGTCCAGTGTCGTCTCAGCGCTGTGCTAGTTAGTAAGACTAATCGTTACCCGCTCTTTATGTTGAAGGTACGTGAAGACCATGTGACGAATTTAAAGGGACAGTTCACCCAAAAATGAAATCCTGTCATCATTTACTCACCATTGTGCGGTTCCAAACCCATATGCATTTCTTTTAGCTGCTGAACACAAAAGAAGATATTTTAAAGAATGTTCGTTACCAAACAGCTGACGGTAGCCATTGACTTCTATAGTATTTTTTTTTCCACACTATGGAAGTCAAGGGCTAGGTCTGGTTACCAACATTCTTTAAAACATCTTTTGTGTTCAGCAGAAGAAACAAACTCGTACAGGTTTGGAATGACATGAGGCCGAGTAAATTATGACAGAATTTCATTTTTGGGTGAACTGTCCCTTTAAGAGATTCATCTTGAAAGGTGAACATAATACACTAGCTAGCTCCCATCAAGTTCATATGAAAATAAAATAAAGGCACTTTCGGGATGAAAAAATGGCAGTAAAGACAATCATGTTGGTCAAAAAAATAAAAAAATGCACATAGGCTACAGAAACGACATCAGCAACTGAGAGGAGATGGAGAAAACACAGCACAAATGAACACTAGACTACAGAAGGACAGTATGGCTTTGACAAACCAGCGGAGTTTCACACGCAATAAATACACCCTCCTGGATAATCGCCCTTCAATCAACAGGGCGGCGCATTTAGCCGGTTTCCTGTGCAAAATGTTGGAAATTCAATTGCTTAAATGGATGCAACCTGGCCGACGCAGCACGTATTACACACATGAGACGCGTTCAGTCTCAGTCTGCGAGCGACGGGCGGCACAAAGCTCAATCTTTGCACAAACCGACTTCAGACACTTGACTCCATCTGATGCACCGCTGGCAGAAACACAGGTTCACAGCAGGCCCGTCCAGAGGTTGTAGCAGGCGGTGTTGATGACCGACTCCAGATGGTGGTACATGGAGACCAGCTGCGGTGGAGGACTGCTGCTCGACTGCGTCTGCGCAGGTAACGGCTCCCTGAAAACCACCTTCAGACTCTGGAGGCAGCAGAAGACGAGGTGAAACAGCCAGATTTAGAGTGGGATCATGTTCGGTAAGCAAGAAATGAATGAATCTCATCTGGCAAGAACAGATCCAGGTTGCATTTCACCTCACAATCATAAGTATATGTAATAATAAAATAAATGAAAAGAATATTTTGCAGCTCAATAAAAGCATATTCACATCCCAGTTCCTATGACAATGCAAAAAAAAAAAGAAAAAATCATTACTGTAACAGGACAAAAAGGTAAATAATAAAATAATGATAAAAGAAACAAATAAAATCAATGTTATTTAGCATAATTTATGCATCATGATAGTATTTGTTGAACTGCTTTTAAATTATTTATAAAAATTGAATATTTAAATAATTTGGCTGTAATATAGTCAGAATTTAGTGTCAATAATAAGAATAATCATTAATAATAATAATAATTACAACAAAAGACGCATTATAGCAATGAGAACTGTAGGAGAAAATGTTTAAAAATATAATGCATAATATATAATTTTAGATTTATATAACAATATAATAATAATATTATATATACATATTATTGCTATAATTAAAGCAGAAATTAAATAATGTGAAATTAATAAATAATAAAATAAAATAAAATAAGAAATTAAAATACAAGGTTAACTCACAGTTTTTCCTGCCTGTGTGTCCAGGAAAACGAGCACAAAACAGTCTGTGAACTTCTGGTTCAGGACGGCCTAGAAAAGAGAGTTTATGCCCAAACAACACACCATTTAAACATCTCGACTCCAGATGTTTCTTTTCATTTTTAAATTGAACCCTGATCTTCACAATCAATTTAACGTTGTGAATTTGTGCTCAGCATTAGGAAACACAGCGTCAGCCGCACGAAACAAATCCAGGTGTTGTTTGTGTGTATATGGAGGATGAAATGATCATCAGTTCAGGAAATCTGCATAAGCCCACAACATCTCTAATTACAGAACGAAGCATGAAGTGGCTTTCAAACACACTTGAGGATCTGATGATTATCATCACATGAACTAGTACACAGGCACTGAGGTCTCATAATGTACCACGCTTTACCACATGCTTCCCTGGCCTCAAGTAACCGAGTTCAAGGTCTTTCCAGGAGAATAATGATTCAAGAGTGCTTTGCCATCAGTGCTTCCCGTCTCGTAATGTACTATGACACGGCCAACAGGACTAACATCTCACACGACCCACAACACGACTGTACGGCCTGAGGATCTGCTTCATGTGCAAAGCTGAAAATGAACACTAAATATCTAGACTGTGATTATGAGCTTAATAAAAGGAATAGGAATATTGAAGTGTTATTGGTCGCTGCAAATCTTGCTTTTCTTTTTATCCAAGAAACCTTTAACCTAAAATCTATCAAACTTTCCATAAAATTATGAAGCAGCACAACTGTTTTCAACATTGATAATAATCAGAAATGTTTCTTAAGCAGCAAATCAGCATATTAGAATGATTTCTGAAGATCATGTGACACTGAAGACTGGAGTAATGATGCTGAAAATTCAGCTGCGCATCACAGGAATAAATTACATTTGAACATATATTCATACATAAAACAGCTGTTTTGTATTGTAATACTATTTCACAATTTATCAGTATTTTTGATCAAATAAGTGCAGCTTTGGTGAGCAGAAGAGATCTCTTACCAGATACTGTATGCCGCCGCCGTCGTCTTTAAAGTGCCTGCAGTTCTGTGGGAAGCGGGACAGCAGGACTTTGATGAGACTCTGGTACCAGGTGGGACTCATATTCAGGAAACAGTCCTAAAAACACAATCACTAAAAGTTTGCAACAACATCGATGATGACAGAATTTTGATTTTGCACTTTTATTAAGATTATTTATGAAGATTTTTGTTAATTATTCAGATTTTAATTTCTTAAAATAGAAAACAGTTCTTTTAAATTGTAATAATATTTCACAATATTACTGGTTTTACTCTATTTTTGACCAAATAAATGCAGCAGCCTTGGTGAGCAGAAGAGACTTTTTTTCAAAAACATTAAAAAATCAGGGACAGAATTTTCACTTTGCACTACATGAGATTATTCAGGATTTATTTATAATTTTACACGGTTTCAGCATCAAAGGCAACATTCATGGCATACTTCAATGAACTGTATACAGTAATTTAATAATACTATTTTACAAACAGATAAAATAAAAAATATGAATCAAGAAATTAAATATAACGACTATCTACAATCTTTCAAATTGATATTTGATTAAACATTTTTTTTTTTTCCCAGGACAAACTTTAACTGTCCATTAATGTACTTTCTGAGTAAAAATGTTTCCCAGTATCATTTAAAGCAGGACACTCAAACAAACAAATATTTGTGCATGTAATATATGAGTGTGCAAAAAAAACTGAATGTTGTCAAAAGTGCAAAAACAAAAAAAAATAAATTACACATATATTACATGCATAAATATGCATGTAACTATAACATGCATTATGAATAAGAAAGCTTCTATGTATATTTTAAACTTGAGTAAAAGCTGAAAAAGATTATTCTGTGTTTAAAAAGCCTTTAAGGTGATGTAAGACCTGACCAGAATATTTCTCTTTAAATTAGCCGGCCTGTGCACACAAAGCATTGTTAAGTTTCAGATCAGATTTCATGCAGGATCTGGCGGCAGGCGAGAGCTGCGGACGCTTCAAGTCAGCGAAACCACAGGACGGCAGTTTTCACAGTCTGGCTGCGGCAGTACATTTTTAAAAAGATGTCATTTGCTGCAAGTTTCTCCTGGTCTGATATCACAGCAGGAGTACATCTCCACTTCCTTTGTGAGCGTGTGCGGCTCTGACAGCGCTATACATCATCCCAGCGCTCAGATTAGCATTAGCAGTCGTGGCACAGGAGCGGCCCGCTCGCTAACATTGACTAAGCCATCCTGCTCGCGTGAAGGGAATACAGAAGTGCAGATGAGGAATCAAACGCCATTGATATGCTTGTTTGGAGAATCTGTGGCTACGGCATCATTGTGCATCACCGGTGGAGGAAACGTCACATCTCATTCTCCCAGAGTTCAGCTGGATGTCAGGAGGCCAATGAAAGCAAACTCAGGATCAGGAGGAGGTGAAGACTTCAGGTGGAAGCAGAAGATGGTCAATATGGTCATATAAGTGCTTGCGCTCACAGCACACACACACACACACACACACACACACACACAGGTCCTATTCAAAACCTAAAAAAATACTAAAACCGAATGATTTTTAGATTTTTGTTATGTTTCAGCTCTGCAAAACTGTAATAGAATAATGCATGATGGATCAGCCAATAGGGGCAACCGAACACCACCTCATTATCATATTGGAAATATCAGTAGGAAATACAGAAACACCGTAAACAAAAGGCATAAATACAGATATAAATAATTATAACAAAAGATCAATGATTTTGGCAACGATTTTTTGTTGTTGATGAATGAAATTAACACTTCTATGATTTTGGCATGCATTAAATTGATCAAAAGTGACATTAAAGACATTTATAATGTTACATTTCAATTAAATGCTTTTCTTTTGAATTTTCTATTCTCACAGATAATCCTGAAAAATAAAAAGTAGCACAACTGTTTTTATCATTGATAATAATCAGAAATGTTTCTTGAGCAGCAAATCAGCATATTAGAATGATTTCTGAAGCGACATGCATCTGTGCTGTATCAAACACATTTCCAGTAACTGCTGCTGTGTAATCAAATCACCGTTGGCGAAGGATGCGGCGTGTGAATCTGTGCACGTGTTGGTCCAGGAGGGATAATGTATGGTGTAAATAAGCAACGGAGTGTAATATTAAAGGGCTGATTCCCAGAGCTAATTAGCTGATGTTTATTGCGGTGTGCTGATGAGTAGGCTGCGTGTTTTCCCTACGGAGCGCTGCATTAGCATGTTTGTTGTCAGCCACCCATCAAACAAACTGCACCAAGCCAGCCGCTGATCAAACCGTCCCGAATAAACTGCACAACGAAGGAAAAAAAACATGCAATTTTCCCACGGTTTCTTAAAGACTGCTGTCAGTGTGTACAGGACGAGAGAGTGCTTCACTTTCCATGAACAGGACGTCCTATTGCTCTTTAAAGTTTCAGAGACACAAATCACAAGTTTTGTTTTATTTTAATTATTTAGAGAACTACTTTGTGAGCATGAAATTAACAAAGTACTTTTAAAACACACTGTTTAAATAATATTCTACAATAGTAGTAAACAATTATTATAGTGTTTACTGCATTTGTCAACAATTCAAACTTGTTACTAGGGATGTAACGATATAAAAATCTCACGATACGATAATATCGAGACATGAAGTCCACGATACGATGTTTATCGCGATATATACAAAAAGTAATGAAGAATGGAAAAAAATGAAAATTTTGTAAATTTAAAAGTTATTATTTTAACTTTACATTTATATTTATAAAATTATTTTTGCTTTACACTACAGCAGGGAAATTACAATACTTCTTTCCTAATGTCTACACTTGAAAGAGATATTTTGAATTTGGACTGCAGTAACGTTACCCATTTAAACCGCTAGCTGTCAGCAATTCATACTGCACATTTAAGCTTTTATTTTGAAGGAAAACTCCAGCTTCAGTGAAAACAGGCTAACAAAACACGTCTCACTACAAATCTAGTGAAATGCTTTAATCATCTGCCGCAAAAATAAAGCATGACTGGTGGCCGTTGCGTTCCCAAACGCGCACTAAACTCAAAGCACGAGCAACAAACGAGTTGACTGCATTTATTCAGTGTGAACGGAGCCGTTCACCGGATCACGAGCTGATCGCCTGAACGAAACGCGCAGCGCCAACAGGCTTGATGAAGGGATTAAGCCATATTGTGCTTTCGGTTTTAGTTTGTTTGACAGATACGGTACCAAAGTATAATGGCCCAAAACACAACTTTAAAGACCTTTTATGTTAGAATAATAAGTTTAAATATATTTTAAAAATTACACTTTATGCCCGGAAGACCTATCGTTTCATATCGTCATGTGACCACGATAATATCGAGACAGTTTTGATATCACGATATCACAATATTGATAATATCGTTGCATCCCTACTTGTTACCAAAGTTATTTTAAGAACCAAATCAAACAAATACTTAAATTCATGCAAAATCAAGATTTTGGTCCAAACTAGCTACCTAATTTACGGTAAATCGGCAACCTAAATCTATCAAAAATTTATTTAATATTTATTGCTAGATTCAGTTTTTTAAAATAATTAAATTAAATTACTTTTTTTTTTTAATTTAATGAAATTTAATAATCACACAAACAGGGATCAGGGTTTAATTTAATATAATTAAATTTAATTTAATAATCAGACAGACTGGGATCAGGGTTTAATATAATTGAATTTTAAATTAAATTAAATTACACAAATGGGGATCAGTTGGGGGAAAATATTACATTTATTTATTAATTTTGAAATAACAGACATAATTAATATTTTCCAGAATAAATAATTTAATCAGATCTATAACATTTTTATTTTTATTTTTTATAGCACTTAATACTACTAATAATTGTATTATTCGTCTTATTAATAATAGTAATGTTATAGGTAATATTTATAATATTATTAATTACATTTTATGTCAGTTGAATTTAATTACATTTTATTTATAAATCAAAAAAATTATTATATGACCTCCTGGTGCTTTCAAAAATGATCAATGAGTATTTATTGAAAAGGTAAAAAATGACCCTATTCAGACCCTATTTTGTACCTATTCATGGAAAGTGGTTGTGAGGGAATGAAGAGAAAGGAACATAAAATGTTAGATGAATGGGTGTAAAAGATGTTCTCAGAGGTGAAGGGCAGTGGATGTGTTTTCATACCAGCTGCGGGTCAATCTCAGAGACCGATCTGCTCTGCACAGCATCCAGCAGCTCTTCCAGTTCACCGAAGGCCAGCTTGCTGAGTTTGAGTTTATCCAGAGCCAAGTGCTCTCCGTGAAAGAGCCTCCTCCAGAGGTTATCTCTGCGGCAGTGGCCCATGGCCTGCTCCACGCTGTTCTGAATCTGCCGGCGAGCAGACAGCACCTCCGAACTGAGCAGGGGGAAGAGAGGACACAGGTAGAAGAGCCCCTGGGAGTCGTCTGTGTCTGCGTCTGCGTGCAGGAGGCTCTCCATGGGGTCAGACTCAGGGCTGGCTGCAGGGGTGACAGAGGCGGTGGTGTCCTCCCACAGGTCCAGTTCAGATTCCCCGCCGGCCTCCATCCGCTCTGCAGGGACGCGGTCGCTCAGGTCACTGGGGTCACGGTGGATCTGGGGAAGCTTCTTGAAGCGCCGCATGTCTGCAGTCAAACGCGGGAACAGCTCCCTCTGACTGGTCATGATCACATAGAAACGCAGCCTGAAACCAGTATACATGCAACAAAAAAATGTTAGTTTAACAGGAAACAGGAAGTCAGAATAAATATTTCAATAAACATCAAATTTTTTCCTCCATCGGTGCACATTATTCCAAAGTTTGCTTTTATAATCTATAATGAAAATGTAAACACTTTCTCCACCTCTGAAATGACTTTTCTTTCTGTTGACATAACCATGCAGCTGGGGAAAAAATATGAACTTTATTCATTAATACTTAATATTTTTTAGAATAAATAATTTAATATGATCTATAATATTATTCATTTATTAATGTTATTAATTACAACACATAATAATAATTTATTATTATTTATAGTAATGATATAGATAATATTTATATTTATATAAAAAGTATTTTATTATTAATATTAATAATTTTTATGAATAAATTAATACATATATATATATATATATAAATGTATTATGTATTTATTATATATCATATCATTTTATTATTATTATTATTATTATTATTATTATTAATTTATGAATATAATTTATCATTATTAAAACAATTATTGTACTTGTAAATATTTATATTCATAAAATTGTAAACATTATTTTTAATATTATACAAATATTATTTATTTAAATATATTATTGTTTATTATTATTATGATGATATATATAATACTTTATTATTAATTATTATATTATTACAGATAATATCTATATTATTATTAATATTACACAAATATGATTTATTTACATATAACATATATTGTTTATTATTATTATTATTTATAATAATTTATTATTTTATATAGTAATATTACAGATAATATCTATAATATAATATTTTACATAAAGTAATGTATTCCTCGTTTGTTTGTACCTGAGCAGGTGTCTCTCTCCCTCCGACTGCTCCTCAAACGGGGCGGCGTTATGACAAACCAGCAGCGACACGTCAAAGTCATCATGGTGTCGCAATCCCTCCAGATCCTTAAACGAGCCAGAGCTTCAAGAGAACAGCATTATTAGAATAGAAATGATAACATCAGCAACTCAAACTAGGAGTGAACCGTTACAGTACCTGTTCCACAGAGCGACCAGCACGTACTCGTGCAGATCTGCGCTCGGCGCCCCCTTCTTGTTATCGGTGGTAACTGCAGCTTTAGACATGCGCAGGGGCTTCATCCCGTAAGTGCCGGCGTGATCAGTGATGTAATTATACAGCTGATGTGCTGTGATCATCCCTGTCGATATGGAGAAACTCCCTAGGACACATGAAAAGCATATTATGCATGACTGGCAAAAACAAGAAAAACACCAAAGAATAAATATAACATTAACTATATCCTATCAGTGGGTGAATCTGGTTGAAAACGTCCAGGTCACATTTGAACCCAAAATAAATAAATAAATAAATACAACATTATATTTTGCATAACAAAAAATAAAACTTTAGGACCACTGAGATTTGAGATATAATCAAATTTTACACTTGAATCCAAGTTATTCTGTAACTGTCATTATTATTACTAATTAGATTCTCATTACTGTATTTTGACTAGTTTTTTAACCAACAGCATAAAGTCACATGATGTATAAATACTTTAAAATTTAATTTTATAAATACTTTACAATTTACAATTTATATCCCACTATTAAACATAAATACGTAAATAGAATTATATATAAATAAATGTCACTATTAAACATACATATGTAAATAAAATTATATATAAATATATGCCACTATTAAACATAACTAAAATTAAATGAGGTATAAGTATATCCCACTATTAAACATATAAATAAATAAATAAATACTTGTCATTATTAAACATACATACATAAATAAAAGCTTTTATAAATACAAATATATGCCACTATTAAACATAAATAAATAAAATTATGTATAAATATATCCCACTGTAAATAAATAAAACTATATATAAATATATATTATATATTATAAATATATTTTAAAATAAATACATTGTTGCGAATGACTGTGACAGTGTCATGCAGCATTATTTTCACTTACAATGAGGCCAGACAAATGACAAGAAAAACACAAAAATAAAAATACAATCAACTACGTGCTAAAGCTGAAATAGATGGCCGTTTCTGACATGCGCTCACCCTGGAAGACGTGGTTGCGTCCGAACTTTGGTATGTCGGGGTGATGGGCGATG